GGGTTTGTGCACAGACAATGCATCTCTTTGAGCAGATTTCTTTTGAGTTGAAGGAAGCTGTATTATGAAATGATCACCTTCTCTCCTCAAACGCTTTGGGTATATTGTGATGAATTCGAGGACCATGTTGTATTGCAGGTGTTGTTACTGGTACTTCCCTTATGAGTGTCTGGGCAACAGACAAACAAAATTCACCATACGGTGGTCTGTTACCAGTCTTTATTTGGTACTATTATATGCATTCAGCATTGAAATGTCCATGAGATGGAAGAAAAGTTTCATGTACCACTTGTAATCTTCGAACACAGTCAAAAAACCAATCTGCATGTCACACTTGTCAACCAAGCGCATGTTTTGTGTATAATCAATCACTGTCAATGGTTTTCGGGAAAACGTTCAAATTTGTCACTCGATCAACTTTGCCACTGTCTTGCATTTCATTACGGTGAATGGTTGTCAACAATGTGACATCTCGTTTGTTTATGCCACCGTAATGCCATGATGTCATTGGCAGTAAACACCTGCACGTCATCACCACGAACACCTGCGTTGAGCCTGGGCATATGTTTACGATTAGAACGTACTGTGCCACACACATCTGTCTTGTTCACTCGCATGAAATCACTGAGTAATGGGCTTGTGTACCAGTTATCGGTATATAATGTATGGCCCTTACAAGTAAAGGTGCCATCATGTTTCTCACTACGTCACCTGAATACCCAATAACATCTTGGTAACTTTCAATGTTTTACTACCCGTGTATACAACAAATATCCAACACCAGGCCACTGTCACAATCACAGAGTACAAACAATTTTATACCCAAAGCGGTTCCTCTTGCTCGGTATATACTGCTTGAATGACAGTCTACCTTTGAACAAAATTTAAAGACTCGTCAATTACAAAATTCTTGAATGGATAAAAGTATATCCTGAACTTTTGTTTGAGATACATGAAACATTTCTAATCTTGTATAACCTGTCCTTCTGTCGGCCTGGTTTTGTCAGAGAAGTGCAACATACGTAACAGTAAGATAAACCCGTTCACTGGTATTATTTCACTGAGGATGGGGTACAAATTAGCCGATCTGTG